CCCCTAGTGGCGTCCTTGCTCCTAGTAGCGATGCCAGGAGCAGTAGTAGGGCCAGGAGCCCCTAGTGGCGTCCTTGCTCCTAGTAGCGATGCCAGGAGCCCCTATAAGTGGCGTCCTTGCTCCTAGTAGCGATGCCTCCAAAGTATTATGGGTTTTGCATGTACCTCAACCGCTGAAAACATGGGGAATATATGGCGCAAGTTCTAAAGCCGACATCATGCACTTTGACTTTGAAGTATATATTTGGCTTGGTGTCATCAGAGTGGGGAGAGTACGTGAGCTTTCAGCGCTACGCTGGATGCAAAGCGCGCTCACGGAAGGAACATCAAAAGATCACAGCGCGGTGAATGCTGATGTCTGGAAATGGCAGACAACCCCGAAGCCCACATTCCGCGCCAGGGATTCCGTCCCCTTTTGTGGACTATGTCTCGGCTTGCAGAGCGCGAAAAGCGAAATCAGCTGGATGAACAAGAGCTTGGAACTTGGAATGATGAGTGAATGATCCAACTATTTTGATCCTGTGATTATCTACCCTTCGTTCCCCTGCGAATGCAGGTTGGAACAGGATCTCCCTCGGGTCAAGTCGCGTCTTTTCGCTGAATCTTGGAGAGATGACGCAAGCCCACCCCCACAGTCAGCGGGTATACTCATTTTTGCTCCGAGGCAAGTCACCGTCACCCAAACAGCAGTGACAGCGGCGTGTGGCACGTCAGCCCCGCGCCAAGCAGACGTGCTTTTCGGGAGCAGACTGTCATGATCTACTATGATTTACTTGGGTGCATGATCTACTTGACTCCAAAGTTCAAAAGTTCGGTGGAATTCCCCGCCCAAATCGCATCCACCGGGGTGTCCACCGGGGTTCACACCCATCTCCTGTTGTAAGAGTTTTGGAAGTTCCACCAAGGCCGAAGGGGGCCACAAGTCCTGCTTTCACTGGAATTCTGTTCCTTCTCCCAGGAGTTGCGAACTTCCTAGCCCAGACCAAGGGTGGCAGCTTCATTGAGAGTGGCGTACAGTATCAGGAACTGAGGCGGCCAATGGTCTTTCCGGTGGTCATGTTCCATGGAAACCATGTCTGCGTTCCAGACGTCTGCCCAGCGATCGGCATTGGATCACGTTGCTGGAAACGAATGCAATCTGTACACTACACAGGCTGAGATCCACTGAACTGGCTTCCGGCGTTGGATCGACTGAAAATCCCTTCTCCCCTTAGTAGTATGTGTTGTTGCCACCTTATTGGGGAGGTCCGAGTGCGTCGCTCAAACTCCACAAACTCTTATTCAACCCTAGGGCACCTGGCCCACATCCGCAGAAGGTACAGTAGTTAGACCCACCAAATCCACCCCAACCACCTTCTCCGGAGGTAGTTGAAGCTCCAGGTATGTGATGCAAGTGTGCCATCACCACCACTGGATCTTCACGCGGAAAAAAACCAGACGAAGTTGACTTGTCAGAAGCCCAACCAGGAGCGGATCCCAGACTTCTTTGGCAAAGCAAGGCCTCTCAATGGAACGTAGACCGTTTCAAGGCCCTCACCTGCAAAGGAAAGAGACCCCCAAACAGTGGCCGGCCGCCTCAGCCCCCCAAGAACTCAAGAAACCATCCAAACCCACTGGTTGGCAGTTCTGGGGGTCGAAACCGCTCGTCGCCACGGTTGAACACAATCGGCTGGCCGCAATCGGCAGGCCGCCCAGGGCTTGTCTCTCCAGGTAAAGGCGACCAACGATTTCTTTTGAGCTACGAGCTCAGTCCAATTTTCCTGAGAATCTGATAAACCTCAGCTCATCCTCAGCTCATCTGAGTAATGATGGAGTAATGGGAGAGTCCAGCGGCTCAACGAATCTTCTACCAACAAATCCGATAGAAGCCCAGAATAGAGCAAAAATGCATTCCCCCTCTGTCCCTTTTTCAAGGTGAAGCCAAGCAAAATCCTCAACATATCTCAACATTAAGAAGCAAGTGAAACAAGCCTTCAGTTTCCATCCTTCTCATCCTATCTCACCAGCCATCACTGAAAGATCCACTCTCCATCCTTCCTCCCCCAAACCCTCTGCGCCGCGGCCGCTCGCCTGGCGGGTCCACAGCGTCCAAGCGCACACAGAGCCCCCCCTCCGCCGTGGGCGCTACGGCCGCGGCGGCGGCCGCCACGCCCTCCACGTCGCGCACCGGGCCGCCGTGATAGTCCTGCCGATGGCGCCGAAGGCGGCGCTGTTTCGATGGTTCTTCATGTTGGGCTTGAAACTGGCCTCTATAGCTTCTGAGGTATATGTATAGCTTCTATGGCGGTTCAAGGGTTTGCTCCAACTTTGTTCTCTGGCTATTCGCTGATGTGTAGTGTAGTGGGTCCCCGTTTCTTCACGCAGCAACTCAAACGAGCATGGAGCCCCCCGAACATCCATTGTTTGAGGACTGAGCGCGCAGAAGTCAACGGAATTCAACGGAAGAACTGACCGACCAGTGGGGGAAGAGAGCACTTCTTTGGTCAGTCCGGGCGTGAAAAGAACACAGAAACCGCATCGCCAGGTGACCGAAAAGTCCTTGCTCGCGAGTCATTTGGAAAGAAAGACGGCTTCCATCCAAATGGTCTCCGCTTCACACCTGTAAACAGTCCGGCTTGTCCCCACTCAAACAGTTCGGTCCACCATCCAGGCTTCCATGTACTCCGGATTGAACTCCGGATTGTTGCAGACATTCTGCAAGATCTGGCAGCCACGGAGCGCATATGGGCAAAGGTTTCGGACCTCAGCGCCGTCCGAAGCGAGGAAATCCACGCTGAGACGAGGACCGTCCTCTGATCGGGGGAGGATTCTTGCCGATCGGGGGAGGATGTTCTCCGTTTTTCGACGCGACGTTTGCTCCCATTTGGGCACACCTTTTCTATCCTCTTCTTTCGGCTTTCGGCTTTTTTGGACCCTTTTTTCTTTCTTTCAGAGATTGGATGCTGTCCATTCACGCACCTCCTGCGCATGTGTTTGCGTCCCAATGAGTGACTTCCCTTCACGTCCATCTGCGCATACCAGGCCCATGGTGGGTCCTCCTGTCGCCCATTTCGGCCAGAAAGCCGCCCGGAGCGCCCATCCAGCAGGCGAGGTCTTCCCCAAAAACATCAGCGCACGATCGCCGTGCAAAGGCTCCTGGCCTCGGTGCCACGGCAACGGCTCCGTGCCACGCCGATGTCTCTTGTTTGGCCAGAAGAGGCTGTTTTCTTCGTTCCAAGCGCTTGGATCATCGCGGCGATCTTCTGCAACAAAGCCAGTTGGTTCGGGAGGTAAGCTTGTGATGAAAAATGGTCCCAAGACATGTCCTCCTTCCACCTTAAGGTGCCTTTGAGCAAGCGTACATGAACCCTGCACTAGTGTCGAGAATCATGGTCCGGTCCAACAGTGGCGAAGTCCAGTCCAAATGTTCAAAAGCTTGTCAAAAAGTATATAAGATATTAAAGTTCAGCTAGATTTGAAGTCCTGCATCAAATGGAGAAGCACATTTGACGTGTGTTAAGAATCTCTATATGAAAGACTCAAAGAAAGCATCTGTCGATCAAACCTTGTAAATCTTGTAACAAAATTTGATGGCAGATTCCGGACATGACGACGCCATCGTGCCTGCCTTGGTAGAGGTTTGCGAGCTTGTGCCCCAGCTGGTCACTGAAGGTCATGCGGGGAATTTGACCCCAAGCCTCTTTGCGGAAGATCATGGGCGAGAGCAACAAACCAAGCCAGCTTGGTCCCACTTGTCGCGCGGAGAATTCGTCTTGGTCCAAAGCAGCTTGGAGGATGGGCAACCAGTTCTCGTTTGAAGTGGATAGTGGCCAATTCGTCTCAAACGGTTTCGGACGCCGTCCTTGTCCTCGTCCTCCCTCCGACCGGTCCCGGCGTCACCGGCCTCTCTCACCACGTCCGGAAACTCGCTGCGCTGAATGGTCAGTGCGTCGTCCGGTTTTTCCTTCCTGAGCAGAGCTGAAGCTTTGGCAAGCAAAGCTCAGTCAGCAAGCTGGTCGAGCGTGGCTCTAGCTTTTGTTCACCGTGTTCCTTTTTCAAGTGTTTCTTTTTCCCCATGTCAAGGACTATTCAAGGACTTACTTATATAACAAATGTGGCATGTCCTCCAAGTAGGCAGGGAGACGGGATCGGATTCCACTTTCACAAACAGGCTTGTTTTAGCACTTCTGGGGAACTTGAAAATTCATAACACTGCATGAAGGAAGAAACATGTCGATGAAGGCATGGAGACAGGTGAGATGTCCGCCGAACAGATTTGCTCTACTTTCTCTCGCTGCAGTTGTCAAACCTGTGAAAGACCGTAAAGACCCTATTGACCCCTGGTTCGACTAAACCCAACAGTTCAAAATACGTTGTCTTTCATGTCGCACTCTGACTTCACTGAAAATTGAGAAAACAACACACTCACCACTGAACTCCCAAAAACAACTTGGCGTAGCCGCTTGAGGCCAGGTGCCTTCCCCTCCTCTGCAGCATCCCTTGGACACTTCCATCATCAAAGGCCAAACCAATCTCTTTCAGCGCATTCTGGAGCTCGTCCTATCCCGGGCGGCTTCGAGTCATTTGGTCCGAGTCCCAAGCCCAAAACAGCTCCAATTCCAAGGTCCTAAAGAATGGTCCAAACGACCAAACTCAAAATGTGATGTGAAGTCCTCAAGCCCCTAGCCTGTCCGGTAGCCTGTCCAGAATGATATCAAAACTATCTTCAGAAAAGGATGTGCGGCCCACCACCTTCTGCAGCGCAACGTCCCGTCCACCGGCGGAAGACATGAACCGCGCACCGCGCGTCCCCAGGACGGGACGTGTCGTGCATCGGCCCTCCTTGCAGAGATAGCCTGTTTTGCTCACCTTGGTGGAGCAGTTTGTGGGCAAGTGCACATCCCATCGTGGGCAAGCAAAATGGGTGCACTTGGGACTCTCAATGCAGGCGCCACACATGGGTCTGTCTTAATACTGAAGGCAGGAAGTTTGCTCTTGGGAGGCGGGTCTCCTAACATCTATGTGGTTCAGCTGCAGTCAAACTAGAGAATCCATTTCAGGTGGCAGGTGTGGACGGCCACTTGTCAATTCTTTTTTGGAACATTTGAACAGTAATCGGACAGAAACTTGTCCATGCCAACTCGCACAAGTCACTTGGAGGATTCCGAGGTTCATTACACCCGTAGAATCTTCGAAGGCTCAAATCCCAACCACGAATCCAGTGCCAGACTTTCCGGATCCCTTGGATTCTGCTCTGTTTCCCGTGGACTCGTTCCGGTGCGAACGAATCGAGCCACGTCGTAGTGGTCAAAGAGTTCTTCCACGAACTGAGCCCGTCGTTTCTTCTTCTGCTCATACATCGCCTGGAGACGAGAGAGACTGGTGACCGGTGACCGCAGGGGTGAAGGACTGCACGTGTATGGACTCTTATGAATTCTGATTGTATGTATACATGAACACAATGGCAGGTTCTTGTTCTACGCGTTGCAGCGAGTTGGTCTAAACAAGAAACATTCACCACCGAATTGATCCTCTTGGGGCCCTGACTATTTCAAAACTACGAAGGATGTGAAAGGCCCCTTGGTGCCCCCAAAGGCCCGGTGCTCCTTAGGCCCGAACACGATTAGAGAGGTATACCACCTCGTGGTTCCCTAAACCTTGCTCAGGTATCTCGAATGGGTTCTCCCAACCCTGTTCCAGTGCAAAGAACAAATGCCTGGTCGTTTGCGGGGCCATGGGGGAATTTGCAACTTCTTGCATACATGCCATAAAGGCTCTCAATTTGGACTTCCGTCAAACAGTTGTTTTGTTGAAACAACAAACTCTCTCGGAGGCTGCTGCACAATAACATGCAGCCCAGTTGCATGGCGCTCCTCCTCTGGCAGTCCCTGAAACGCAGGGTACTTGATGGTGAGCATGCAGAACTTGTCCTTGGTTTGATCTTGAACTACCAACTTGCAAGCATACTACACTCCTTTAGGCCTGTCTATCCCAGCTTATCCAAGCTGGGGGTCCAATACCACCCATGTACACCATGAAATCCAAGAGACTGATCTCTGAAAGCCCAACTCGGGCACATCGATGTACCTTACGAGCTTTCAAGGTCGCGCCCGCTGAGCGGAAGGAGCGTCAAGAGGTGAATCAGAGCGGGTCGCGGGATGGTCGGGGAAGTTTGCTATCTGAAGCGAACGGAAAAGAATGATGGTTTTAGGGAAGGCTTTTTTCAGTTTCTGAAAGAGACGCAGCTTTGAATGTGACCAAGTGGTGCAGTTCTTCTGGCAATCCCAGCTATGACATATGAGCACGGCAGTCTATATTCGTATGTATATATATATATACATACTTACATGTATATACCCTAGACTTCCAAGACCATTAAAAACATGGTTGACCTGGTTTTTGTAGTCTAAAATCCTTAGTTGATTCGGTAAAGCCTATGAAATTAATGGTGGTTGGAATCCTAGGGTATATGGTATAGATATAGTGTACTGTATAAACTCAATGGTCCTATTAGATCGCGACGGACCATATCTTATGTTCAAGGTTTCAGCACAGTCGCAAGATTTGTGATTCAGGAGTGTGAAATGCAATAAATTTAACAAAAAATGGTGTCTTCTCCTTCGGCGGACATGTTTCGTCATCGGATCTGCACCCGTCTGCACCCCGGAAAAGAAAGGAAAAACTCGTCCGATGTTGTTCGTCTACAAGGGTCGGTGCAATGGTGAACTCTGTCTCAATCCCAGAGAACCGCCGGCACAAGCGATGAGTGGCCACCTCGGGTTGCAAAGGCTTGGAGATCACTCGTCCGAGCATGTCTTATAAGTTATAAGTGGCAGTGAACTTAATTGATTCAATATTCTATAGACTAGACTACCACTTATAAGATCCTCCACCTCACGATCGCGTAGCGATGCGCCTGAACATTTGAGCCACTGTCAAGGTCATACGGAGAGCACTGCCCAGAACGAACCTCGAACCTGGCTGCAAGTAAAACCGGCAAGACAAGACCTCGTTTCAAGGAGTGCATGCCAAATATTTAGTGAACAACGAGTGCAAAGGGGCAACATGATGTCAAGACATGGGCCAGTCGATACCAAGTGGCAAGAAGCTTCTAGGGGCAAAGGGCATCGCTACTAGGAACAAGAAGCCACTAGGGGCTCCTGGCCGTACTACTAGGAGCAAGTAGCTACTAGTAACAAGAAACACGACCCATGCAGGCCAAGTCGCAGCACGGTGTCGGAAGAGGATCATGGCGCACGGCAATGTCGCACGCGGAACAGGCCCCAGTCCACACCAGGAGGTTTCACACTGGTATGTGTCGCTTCGCAAGTCTAGGTGCAAGAGGCTGATCGAGCTGTTTCCTTCAAAAATAGAAGAAGCTGTGTGGCTGTCTGGCTTGAGAAACAAACCGGCGAACCTTGCCCCCCTTTCATCCGTGACGAGAGAGAGATGCTAAAGCCAAAGCCTGGAGGCTGCGTGGTGGAGACGTCAGAAAGCAGGGAAAGTCATACACCTGCAGCTTCTGAGATGACATGTGCCTGAGTCAAAACCCTGGTCAAACTCTGAGGCCCCTATTGGATCCATGATCTCAGCAAATCTGATATTTTAATTCCTCTGGTGGTCCTGGATTGCAAAAACATGGCTTCCGACTTCCCGTCTCGTCTCTGCTCTTTCCGACTTCCCAAACCTTCCCACCTTCCTCCACACGATCTCCCTCCAATTGATGGGGTCCCCCTTGCCAGAACTCGACCAATTCCGACCCAAACACTGGCCGGCAAGGCAACACCACGGGGATGTCCCCCAAGGCTCTGCCCTCTTCAGCACCTGGGAGCTCCAGGGTGACGGACAGGTGAAGAAGGGGTGGACAGCAGGGCTCGGACTTCCAGAGAAGCGTGGGTGGACATCGTTTAGGTCTTTTGAAGAGTTGGCTTCTTCTTTGGAGCAGGTCCAAATTCTGAGACAAATCCGCATCTGCTTTGGGGATGCTGAAACACAAGGGAGAGTGAGAGAGTGAGAGAGGAAAAGAAAGATTGAATACAATCTGAGCCAGTTTGCTCTTTGTCTTCTCAAGCTAAACCTACCTTGATGACCATCTACAGCAAGCTGCAGGCGATTGGTGCCCGTCACTCTTGGAACTGGGTGACTCTCCCTCACTCCTGTCCTTCCCATCGCACCTTCGGTCTTTAGCCGGTAGGGATGTGTGCTGAAGGTGGCCACCGTGAGACTTCGTGCTTCACGGTCCACCTGTGTGTCGTCAACTTCGCTGGGACGAGGACGAGCGGGTCAAGGACTCAGGACCAAACGCGAGGGTCCTGATACATAATGGACCATATCACCACCAAGCTAGGAGTTCAATAGATGGTACTAAGACGGGTAGCAACGATTTTAAGCGCCCAAAGTCGGGGCCCACGACGCCCCGCGATGGAGCATTTGAATGAGCATTTCCTCAAAGAGCTTTGCTCACACCACACCAGCATTTCCCACTCGCGTTTCAACACCAAATGACATGTGCCTTAGCTGTTGGGTTTGGGGATTCCCGAACATTTCCTCCTTCACGATTCATGTGCCCAAAGTTGAGGAGCCGGCGTCAGTTACATGCAGGAGCCTGCAGTCGCGCCAACATCCGGAACCACCAAAGGAAATCGAATTCTACTGGCAGTTGAGAAACCCAGGCGGGAGCTTCCAAAATACACGTGTAGGTTGTGCCCAAGAACCTGTTCCTCTTCGGTCAGCCAACTCCATCAGCCAACGATACTTGCCAAAACGAGTCCAGTGCCACCCAGCGGCCTTTCCCTCTCAGGGGTACCGGGTACCGGGGTGTCAGTGCATACAATCACTAAGGATAATGATAATGGGATCAAGAAGGTAACACCCTCAAGAGAGAAGGACACTGAAGCCCAGAAGAACCAACCAGAGCGAAGAAAGGGAACAAAAAACAAAAATAAAGCAAGACGACAAAAGCACCCAGAGCAGAGCTAGGACCTCAAGAGGCATAGGCTGATGTACAGTAGTTCAATGACAGTGAATTGTGGATTACAGCAAACTAAATTAAAGGCTCGGGAGTTGCAGGTATTTAGACAGCATCAAATGATAGTTTCTGATTACAGTAAACGCAACCACACTTGTCGGCGAATCCTCTGGAGGGGATGAAGGGGTCGAACCCAGCGCTCCGTGTTCAAGGACCCGTGGGGCTGTTTGATGAGCGTCGCAGGCCATTTTCCATGTCCATGTGATCAGTGCCTCTGGGTAAGACTCAACACCTTTCACTGGTGACTTCTGCATGACTAAAAAAGAAATGGAACACCAGAAGTAATGAATAAGTCATGAAGAAATGAATGAAACTTCTTCTTCTTCATTACTTCTTCATTACTGGCCACTTCTTCTTCATTACCTGAACATGCTTCGTTCAGGTCCTCGGAACACAAAACATCCCAACTGTTGGCGCCTCACATCGACCTCGGGGCGGGACCGTTTCGAAGAAATCCAGCGACAACCAAAACGGCGTTTCTGTGGTCCCAACGAAAAACGAAGGACGCTCCGAACACATCCACATTGGAAGTGTAAATTAAACCGTCAGGGTCAGGCCGTCCATCCGTCCATCCGTCCATCCGTCCATCCGTCCAACATCCGATGTGGTCTGACCGCTGGCTCTCGTTTCCTCGGCGCCCCTCGCGGATCCGTGTCCGCCACCGTGTGGTTGCGATGGGTCCCTTCTCTGCCCCCAAAAAACTCCCAGTCCGTCCTCGGCCCACCCGAAAAACTCCCGAACGCAGGAGCCCCCCCCTTTTCTTCATGAGCGTTGCGCCCCTCGGCGCTACGCCCTACGACCGAGAGCTGTCCTCCTCGTTCCCGTGCGCTTGAAAACAAATCCTCCGGAAAACCAAAAAGAATTGGTCCATTGGAGTCCGTGGTTCTTCTGTGTTGTGGTGTGTTGACCATCTATTTTCTACTTATACTATATATCCAAAGCTGATGTGGAACTTGCACACAACAAGAGCAATGGTTGGATAAGTGGAAAACCATGAGAATGAATAGAATACAAGCCGAATCATCATGGGGTCATGCGCCCTGTGCTAATCATGAACGCAAGCCCCATATATTTGAATTTGCAGCTGCTGAGGATTCTTCTTCTGGCATGTCTCCACCAAGAAGACGTGCAAGCCCAGTCAGATGAATGATAAGTTCGTAGACGAAGGACCCATTGGGCCATCGTTAAATCTTCAAAGGGGGTTGAAGACTCCAAGACAATCCCAGGATGCCGGGATTGAGCAGGAGGTACTCCCAAGTCATGCTTGGAGGGTATACTCCCGAGTCGTTCCAGTCAGAGTCCTTGTATGGATGAAGTCGGAGCACCCGCCCCTACCAACTCCCAAAGGTCACCCATAATCACCCGGCGGTCACCCGGGTGCAAGGCTTCGACCACCTGAGTCGGTCTGCCGACTCATGCGACCGAGACACCACCGCGTGCGGCGCGGCCAGCTCAGAGCCCACCGTCTTGCCGGGGGGCCTGAGAACGAAATCCGTGAAGGTGAAGATGCATTCGGTGAAGGTGTGGCAAAACATGGAATTCAGAAACACCTGGACCTAAACCACTGGTGAGCAAAACATGCATCAAACAATCTCTGGTGACAGGGGTGGGCCTCAGAGGTCCTTCTGACATGTAAGAGCCCTGTTCATCCGTTTATATATTGAAATTTAAAAATATAATATAAGATAAAAGGATCGAACAGGTATATGCCATGACAACCCTTTATCCCTCTCAGCTGGAATCTGGCACATGTCGTTTTTCAGCCGTGACGACTGGACCTTCCGAACCCTTGAGCCCCTGGGCCAGAGCTCGCGAACTGCGCGCGCCACTGCGCGCCATTCGACCGCTCCAAGTCGGTTCCGCTCAGTTCTCAGGTTCCGCCAGAGCTCGGCGCCGGGCATGGTTGAAAAGAGGAGGCAAATACTGCAGAGGCTCGCCCACACCTCGATCCACCAGGGCCAATACAGCGGCCATGGTCGGCCACGGATGGATCATTGGCCAAGCGAGGTCATGTCTGTCGAAGGGAGCTGCGCCGAACGACGGAGATGCTCCCTCCGCAGACTCCGCACTGTCCAATAGGACCCATGTGGACCGCTCGTGACCACCTGTCGCGCTGAGGTTCCCCACCCAGCCATGCTCCAAAGGGCCAGGAGGCATGGCTGCATCTGAACCAGCTCTCACCTCGACTGAGTGAGCTGGTTCACCAATGAAACAGGATCTGAGAGAATCTCAAACAGCCAAGGGCTCCAAAGACTATGGGACGTGTATTTGTCCCTCGCATGAAGGAAAAAACACACCCGAGACTAGCAACGCAATTGAATCATGAATTAAAAGACGATGTGACCCAAAAACAACCGACTGGGTTCAATCGCTTTGTGCTCCGCATCGAAGCTTGACGACCGATGGTGACCGATGGTGGCCGATGGTGATGCTCAGCGGACGCCTGGATAGGTGACTGGTGACTCTTCAACAAAAAACAAAGCAACCACGAACCAAAAGCACCAACGCTTCGCGGCTTCGCGCCGCAGGTCCCGTGACCCGTGACCCGTTGCACACCTTTGTCACCCGACCCGTTGCAGAACGCCCGGTGGCCTTCATGAGTGCGGTGAGGCCGTCATTGGCACCGACCACACTCATGCCACTGCTGAGGCCCTGGTGCCACGGGTCTCACGGGACCCGAGATCAAGCAGTGGGCCGTGAAGCGTGGTAGCCTAGTGAGTCCTCGTTCCAACGCGAGACACAGAGAAAAGAAAAAACCAGCAGAGGAAACACATGGTCATTGAAAGAAAGATAGCGCGACTGCCATCTCATGTCCAGCCACAGCCGTTTTGGCAGTGAGTTGAAAGAAAGATGAAGTCCATTTCAAATGGGGAAAAAATAAGGATAAGCACATGTTCTTTTTCCCAAATGGGTCCAAATGATACGGCGGGTCCTACAATCGTGTTTCTTTCGTGGCCCAATGGCTGGGAAGACGCGAGGGACGGCGGGAAATGGCACGGGTTCTTCAAGTATACATACATACATGTATATATATATACACCATTGGGAGGATCCTTTTCACGTTTAATCCGTGTGAACCATCTGAACTGGAGTTTATGCCATCTGAACATGACTGGATTACGAATGTGAGACTGTAGTATGTGTCCCTTTTGGTCCGGGTGATAGAGGCTTTGCTTCAGTTCGCTCATGCAAACAGGAGCCCAACCCATCCACCCTGGAAGGTCTAACCGGTGGAACAGGACACCTTTGTTGAGGGAAGCACTCGCTTCGCCACCT